CATGAAACTGTGCAAACACCAAGAGCATCACTGAGACAGTGGTTTTCCAATTTTTGGGCAAGCTAAGAAATGCTTTCTTAAAATAAATTGCGATGCAATACCTCAGTAGCATAAAGCATGTAAAGGTGAAACTTTTCTAGGGTGCAGAGCTGAGATTTCTGCTGTTACTTCCCCATACCCATCCCATAGTATCCTTAATTACCCCCTGAACTCTGAAGCTCTGGAATGCTAAGGAATGCCTAACTCTGCTTACTCAAACCAAACTCTGCTTTAAAAACCCTTTGTCACCACTCATGGAGAGGATTCCCCAAGGAGAAAGAATTTGAGAAGGGCCTGGGTGGGAGTTAAGGGGAGGGAGTTAAGTAATACAGAATGTAGCCTTTTCTAGTGGGAATGTGTAACCAGAAGAAAAGGCGTGAGAAATGGGAATGAGGCTGCTGTGTGGAGCTTCCCCCTGGCTCCTCCCTTACACCTGGCAGAACAAAACCCTCATGTCCCTCAGCCTAAGTGCTCCTTTCTTGGACTCTTGGCGGAGGAAAGGAGTAAGATGGACTGGGGATACCACCATCACCCCTGACCCTCCTCTCCACCAGTATCTCTTCATTCCCCAAACCTTTCTGCTGTAGTCTCTCTACATCTTCCCCTGCTAGGTCCACTGCCACTGTCTTCGTTCAAGTGCTCACAAATTCTTTGTTTAATTGAATGGTTTTTTTTATTGAAAAGTAATATATTTACACGGTACGTATAGTTAAATAGCAACCTCCAGGTTCCAGGTCTCTCCTCCCAGACAGTCATTGCTAAGCATTATGTGCACCTAAATCCTTTCAGGGGCTCTTAATGCATTTACAAGCATTATACATATATTTGTGATATACACATATTTATGTGTTCATGTGTTCTTCCTTCAATCTCATGTATTATAGCAATCTATGTCACTTTTTTGAACTTAGGTTTTTAAATTTAATATTTTATCTTACCAATATTAGCATTAATGCTGATTCTTCTTTATCATATTCTACAAGGTTTTTTTTGTTTATTTGGTGGTTTTGGTTTTGGTTGGGTTTTTTAGCAATATTAGGGATTGAATCCAGGGCTTTCTTACTGAGGTACATCCCTAGCCTGGTTTTTCTTTTTATTTTTAATAAAAATAGGGTATGCTGAGTCATTAAGTTGCCCAAGCTAGGCTTGAACTTCCAATCCTCCGGCATTAGCCTTTCGAGTAGCTGGGATTACAGAGGTGCACCACCATGCCTGGCTATGAGTTAATTTTTTAACCAGTATTTATTAACAGACATTCTCATTCCTTGTTACTTCTTCCCTAAAATACACTAGTCATTTCCTAACTGAATGCTACCTCCCAAGTTTTTCCTTTCTATCTTTTTTGCTCACCATTATGCAAAACCCAACTCTAAAACCATCTGTGACTTTTCATGGCCTTTGTTGTCCAAAAAGTGACATAATCTAGTGGTCAAGTGTGTAGGTTCTGAGGTCAGATACTCTTGACTTCAAGCCCTGGCACTTTTCCTTATCAGTGGTGTGCTCCTGAGTGACTGGGTCTCCAAACTTCAGTTTCTGTATCTTGCAAAATGAGGTATCTACATCTCAGAGTAGCTCTGAGGACCAAATGTTGTGGTGTCCCCTATAGTGGTCATGCTATAGCAACAGAAACACTGAAATGACACTCCAGGATTTGGAGGCAGATTTATTTAACATCAGGTGGGCACTGACAAGGAATTAATTGTCCCTCAAAATGCCAGGCCTCAAACTCCCAGGGAGGAAGGTTTTTATGGGGTTGCAAAGGGGAGGTATAGAAGTAGAGTACTTGGCTATCTTTGTTTGGTGCCTACAGTATGTATCACAGTGACCAGCCATTTCTAAGAAACAGAAGCAACCAGAACTACAACAGAAACTGTCAACTGAAGTATGTTGTTGAGCAACTGAGGTATACTGTCTGGTCGGGGGATGCATTTTCTGCTACATTTCCCTCCTGTTTTAGTTTCCCTTGCATATCTTTGCTGGGCACATTATATGTAATCTTTTGAAACAAGGCTCATCTAGCACCAGTAAAGTCTACCAACACTGGTCAGTGAATCCAAGAGATATTCTCACACATGGACACGAAGATCTACATAAAATAATTTTCAATGTAGTATAGTTTAAAATAAAAAGTGGGAAATAACTTGTGTCCCTTAGTGAGAGTCTAGTTATAAATACAGAATAGCATACCCATGCAGGAACAAACCTTATCATTTGTAAAGAAAGCAAGACTAATATGCTGATATCGAGTAAACTCTAAAATGCACGGCTGAGTGTGAAGAACAAAGCCCACGATAGTGTGTATTGTATGCTCCCAAATGGATTAGAAAAGATGTCTGTCTATGTGCTTAAGTACGCATAGAGAAATTCTGGAAGGAAGTAGAAAAATAAAGCTTATCAGTGGCTAACTTCAGGGGAGGAACTAGGAACCTCAAGTTGAGAAGAAGACTTACTTTTTTACTGCATATGTTTTTGTACTGCTGGCTTTTTTTTAAACTATACATGAGTTACTCTTGGTAGTCTTTAAAAGCACTTAAAATGCCTCTTTTATGCCATGCCTGATGACATATGGAAAGTCAGTGACACAGGCAGTTAAAAGAATTCACTAACAGACAAGGAATACGGGAAAGACAAGAGTTCATCAAGGACCTGATCAATATCCCCAACTGTCTGCATGAGGGGTACAGTGAAAGAATGAAGTAAGAAACAGAGACAAATTTCTTCTAAATCTAAGGTTCCCACCTGTAGAAACCACAAATTAAATTTAACAATCTTATGCACCATTTTAGTTAAGGTGCCAATATTAACTCGAGTTCCCACTTGTTTAAGCAGCTTATGCAGGAGTTGGTTGTAATTTTGCTGCTGCTTAGATTGCTCCTGCCCTATTTTCCCAGCTACAGACATGTTTTACAGCACCGAGTGCTTTACCTTTCACTCTCCGTTTGGACTTTGCAGAATTTGTCCCTCAGAGTCCTCTCGCAGTCTCACACCCTCAAGTGGATCTTCCCACTCAGGCCCAATCAAAAGATCCCTGTTTGGGTGCCAAATACTGGGGACCTAGCCAAGATCCCCAGCTGCCTGCATGAAAGGCAGGGCAAAAGGATGAAATAAGAAACAGACAAATTTAGTAATGTATGATGGAGGGACTGGGAGGTCAGTGTCTCAGCAGGGGCAGGCAGATGACTCAGAGGTCAGCAATGACTGGAGGGGGACGGATGACTTAGAGGGTGAGCAAGTGGTTATCCTGTGCTGATGAGGTACTGTGGTGAGAAATGATGGGTTATGGAGCCTGTCCTTTCCCAAAGTGAAACTCTACTATTATTACTACTGGGTTCTCAAGGAACCAGGACGTCTTCAGCTGGTGCAACCTTGCCCTGGGGCATCACAGCATCACAGGACCATTGAGGCCTCAGTTGTTACTGGAGGCACATAGAATTATGTTCCCGAATACCACAGCCAGCCCACATGGCAAGGCACTAGGCCTCAACAAGCCCTAATCACAATTTACTTATGAAATGATTTTTCCACAACAATTATATAGAATGGTTCTCGACAAGAGTTCATTTAGATTATTGAGAACATGTCAGGAGGGGCAGTGGGTAAATTTCCAAGAAAGGAGCCGTGCATGCAGAATGAGAGATTGGGAGTTTTATATGAGAATAAAGACTCTGGGAAGGGTCTGAGTTGGCAAGTTACATACCTTAGAAATGCATGTTCCAGGACATCCTCTTATTGTTTCTCTTCCAAGAACACCAGTCTTTTAATTAAAATTAAAATTGCAAACTATCAAAGCCCCTCACTAAGGACTCAAAAAAATCTCTGTAGATTTAGGTAAGTGTATCTGTATGTTTTAATCTTTTAAGGAAAAATATAATATAAGCTTAGCAGGGGAAAAAGATGGGGTTTTTAAATTTACTTTTATGTTGGGCTGTTTTTAGTCCTTATTAGCATAGCGCTTCATGACTGTCCAGTATGTGCTGGGCAGAAGTATGTTTCAAAGAAGTTTAGATGCTGAGAATTTTGACCCTTTATCACCACATTTCATGTAAGACACCCACACTTACCCACAAAGAGCTTTCTTCCTTACTGTCACTCTGGGTACAGAATAACCACAGTATCCCTCCCCAGACTGTGGCTGCAGCCCGCCCCGCTGCCGTGAGATGCACTGTACTAGACTTAAATTCATGATACTCTAGAGTACATTTGTGTAATATGCACCTTGCAGCCCACTTCTGCCCTCCTGCACATAGCCCTGGAGTCAGCAAGGCTTCTGTGGGCTGCAACAGATACTTCCAAGGCTTTAGGCAAGCTTCATACTCAGCAGGAGCTTAGGTGCTGCTTGCCCATTGTCTCTCTGCATGGATAATTATCTTTGTGAAGTGCCATCATGCAAGCTCATCAGTCTGACACACAATATGATGATATACATATCACATTTCAGAAGGTAGCATCCCAAAAAGCCTTGGGTGCATGGGGTTTCTTCTGCTCCTTTAAATACACCTCACCAGGTCAAGACCTATATAACACGACACTTGAAAAGCCAGCAGCAGTCAGTGGTCGGTGTCTCATCCAGTCCGGTCTCATCTGGACTGCTTCTACCCCATTGTTTCTAAGTGCCTCTGCTCACCAAACCCCTTGATTCTGCAACTCAGCTCAGGGCCCCGAATGTGGCTGTTACCCTTGACACTTGACTTAAAGTGTGGTGTGTCCACACTTTCTCTCGAGGAGGAAGCCAGCCTGACCAGTCTCCAAGAGAAGGATCAGGCAGGACATGAGCAGGTATGTGCCTCACTACTCATCGTGAGAATGAACGGCCCCTGGTACGTGTTCTATGCTGTCCCACTGTGAAAAACACCAGGGGACACCAGAAAGCCAGGCCCCTTCCCAGAAGAATTTAAGCAGATGTGTTTGTAAATGATTCACAAGTACCCTCTGAGTGCTATAGAGAGTAAAAATGCAGAATATGAAAAAGATACATAAATTTAATTTAGGCAAAAGATTTAGAGATCCTCTGTAGGACACCAAAGTTTTTTTTTTTTTTAATTAAATGCTTATGTTCAGTGCAGGGTGGGGTCAATTGAAGAAGTGAGCTCTTAACAGTATCACCAGTTGGGGTCTCTGGTAGACACTTCCCAATTCCCCATCACCCCTTTTTCCCTTCCAGGCTCAGCCAGTCTCAGCCATGCTCCCCATGGCCTTGCTCAGGGTGCTGGCCTGAAGAGCAGGAAACCCAACACGGAGTCAGTTTCCAACTGCGTCTTCCTTGGCACAAGATTGTCTGAGTCCTCTGTCCAGGTGGCAGAACTAAAATAAGACACGGTCCCTGAAAAGCCTCTTCTTCTGTGAAAAAGGCTCTTGCTTTAAAATGTGGCCTGTCCTCACTGCTGTCTAGGAGAAAGCCAGCACAGTAATGAGTGTTTGTAAGTCCAACACGCTGCTGCGAACACAGGTAGTTTCACCTCCCAATTACAGGACACCACGGGCTCAGGCTTGGGTTGATTTTCCTATTCAAAGATGACCTTAACTTGTACCACCACCTACCCTCACTCCTCCCACTTACTCTTGTGACCAACTAGCCAGATCAGTGTATGACATCAGGGTGGGGAATTTTCTCCTGGCATTTGAGTGAAGCTTAGGTCCCTACTGTGAGAACCCGCCAACCAGCTCACAGCCTCCAAGTCACCATCAGTTTTCCTGGCTCTTGCTTTGGAAGCTGGGCCTTGGCAAAAGGAGCATCTAGAAATGTACTCATCCCAGGTCAGCAAGGAGGGGAAACAAGTAACAGGTTAGAAATTAGGGCATGGGCATCTATACTTACATAACACTTTAGAGGTTACAAGTGCTCAGAATGTGGCCCACCCAAGTTCTCCACCTGTTCTTGTCTGGTCTGCAAGTTGAGAGATCTTATTTAACAACCTTGCTCTTGTAATGGCTGTTCAAAATCATTTTCAAAACAAACTAGAAGGTGTGAATAAACTTCAACATCTTCTGCAGACTAAGACCTGGTCCACAGATTCAGGCAGTACCATCCATCATGCTGGTTCCCAGAGAGGATGTTCAAATAGAAGAAAAGTGAGGACAGCTACAGCAACTAGCAATGAATTTTGAAGTTCTCCAGCTCTTTGCGGCTCAATCGGGCAGGGTTATAAGCTTTGACTGGTCTGCTTCCAACCTACAGAAGAAAAGGAGAGAATTTTCCCTAGAAGATATTTACAATAATCCTATGGTGTATGAATTATTATCTCCATTTTACATATATTTTTGTCTTTTTGAGACAGGGTCTTGCTATGCACTTCAGGTTGTCCTTGAGCTCACCTTGTAGCCCAGGCTAGTTTTGAACTCACAACGACCCTCCCGCCTCACCCTCCTGAGGGCTGGGATTACAAGTGTGCTCCACCATGCCCGGCTCATTTCACATATTTTAAAAATAAAGTTCAGAGCATAAAACAAATTACTGAGGGTTAACAGCTAGTGTGAAGTAAAGAAGGAACTTGGGTCCAGTTCTTCTTGCTCAATTCCAGTGCCATTTTAACTACACCATGCTTCGTGACAAACCCTCATATAGATGTGGACCACACTGGCTCCTCTGTAACCCTGCACTGTCCAGTTAGCTTTAATGTTGGGTTATATCTGAAGGACCAGGGATCCCAGGAGGTACCAAGGATCCCTGAGAGCACCCACTCATCACCACCCTTGAGACAAAGACATCTTTATGGCTAATAGGTCTCGGTACACTGCCTGCCTTAATTACCCAAGATATAAATGGAAAGCATAGGAGCTGAGGGTGTAGCTCAGTGGTAGAATGCTTGCCTAGTACATATAGGGTTCTGGGTTCAATCCCCAGTGAGAGACAGAGAGACAGAGACAGACAGAAAGTTGATTTTATCTGCCTTAGAACATTCTGTGAGCATTAAATGAGATAATTCATGTGACAACAGTGGCAAGTTGCCTTATTTCTCCAATAAATGTTGAGACCCACCTTTCCTCTCCCTAAATGGGTTGATGGGAATCAATGTAGCTACCAGGTTCAGTGGTTACCTTCGAACCAGGATCACCACAGCAGATGCGTACATCCAAAAATGGCTCCTAATGACTTTGTAATTTATGAAAATTGTTTAGAATCACTAATTTTCCCCTCTCTGGCCCTCTACCATCCCACATACACCTTTTAACAGAAAAGATGCATTTTGTAGCCCATAGCCTGAGAACTAGCTTGGGAACAGCCTTCCTTTGGAACCCAAGCTGCCCAATAAAACTTAAATGTGAATACATAATATGATTTTGGATTAGACCTTCTGTTTCTTTGGGCTTCAGTATCTAAACTCTAAAATGAAGATTCAGACTAGAGGATGCCTAAACTCCCTACAACTCTGAGACTATGTGATGACTTTCTCATAAGGATAACCTTCGTGGCTGGACTTCAAGTCTGTGCTATAGGAACTAACCCACTCAGAAAGAGCTCCAGAACCTTACCTGATCATAGATGGTGCCACTGCAGGAAGGGTCTTCATTCCTCTTCTTGAAACTAGCCTAGAGAGTAAAGAACATTTAACTTCAAGAGAAGAGATGCTCTACTCCTAGCGGATGGATGAGGTCTCAAAAGAGACTCAGGCCCCAGAAAGCCCCCTAAGGTTTCCCTGACCAGAAAGTGAAAAGAATCTACTCCAGGAGCAACCAGTGGTGTTTATAGTCTCCAGGAAGAACAATGTGTACTGGTATATGATATGACATTTCTTAATGCATACCAGAGATTAGTATCCTTTGCCCACACACCCCTAAAACCCACACAAATACACATTTTTAGGGCACAAGCACACATACACATACATATGCACTTGCACACATAGCCCTGAGACAATCCTAGTGCAAATACTGCCCATAAAATATGTATCTCTTCAGTACACACTCACTTAATGCACACAATTCTGGCACCTTACATAGTGCCAACCCTAGCACATTCATGAACACAGTGGTTGTATGAATTACTTGAACTGAGAAGACTTTCAATGGTATGTAGAATTTTCATAATATAATACCAAAGCACGTAAAGATAGTGCCTGTGGACACCTTCATGCTGTAGGTAGGCAATTATACTGTAGCATATAACTAAAGTTAAATATCTCTCATGATGTGTTCCAAGATAGCTAGATGATTTATTAGAAGGCGTTTGAATGAGAAGTCCGAAAACCTGTCCTAAATACCTTTAAACACATGGTCTCTGACCTGCATGGAATTCCACAGAAATTCCCAATTTCTCTTATGCCACGTTACAGGTTATAGTCTCATACTTTGGTTTCTGCCATGAGAATACCACCCTTTCCATCCCTTCCCACATCAGGTAGAAAGGATGAGCATGGGCACCAGGATGCCCAACTGTGTGGTTCCTGATATACAGGAGAGCTATGAGCTCAACTTGGAGCAGGATTTGAGTGGATCCTGATATCTGCCTCAGTCCAGAGGCCTCTACCAGCAGAGGCCTATCAGATAAGAATGGCAAGAATCTTGAAACCTGAAAACATTGCTTCTCTAGTTCAGTCCACTCCTCCATGTCCAAAAAATAAGCCTCTGCCTTGGAAATCTCTCACCAGAGCCTCAACTGGCCTATTAAGGATGTTAGGGTCCCACAGTCACACAGAGCACCTCCTTTCTGTCCTTGTCCTTTGCTTCCCCTTTGTGCTTTTCTAGAAAGTCCTAGAAATCCTTAATACACTGTCCTCTGAGTCTCAGAGCTGTTCTTAAGGGCATTTGTCCTGCTTGAGACAGTAGCATTTAAATATCATCCTTTAACAGAAGCTAGTGGTATACAAGTCAGGGAGGACAGAGAGCGCACACACTCAGCACACACTACTCCCATGCCTGCTTATGCATACACCAGACATGCATCTGCATCCATAGTGCCCCTCAAAAGGAGACTTACCTTCTGGGAAACTTGTATTACTGAATATAAGGTAACAGCACTTTCTTGTGATTGTGATGTGGGCTCAGAATACTAATGAGAAAAAAATGAAAGATTTCAGAAGCATTGATCCACCATAACTTAGAGAGGTAACCTCTTCTATCCCTCTGTCTTAACCCTGCCTGGGTAGAAGCTCTAGGTATTAGTTAAAAGACTCCTGGATGAGCTAAGAGGCCCATCAACATGAATGCTAGTCCTGCTCTGTTATTAGCAGTAGCTACTATTTGTTGAGCATTTGTTGTGTATATATATATTCTCCCCTTACCCATTCACAGATGACTCCTATAAGATGGGAATATCATCATTTGCCCCCCACCACAGATGAGGCCACAAAAGGATGAAAAGCTCAAGTCAATGTGTACACAACAGAAGCAGGACTCAAGCCCAAGACTCTCCAGAGCTTATGCTTCAACACCACAATGCCTCCCTTTGGCAACATGCCTTCCTTCTCTGGACCTGAACCAGGTGTCCTTCAGGCCAGGTAACTCTTGTCCTTTATTCAATTTTTATTTTTGTTAGTATATGTCTGCAATACATAATTATTACATTCATCAGTGGGAGTTGGTCCATATACACAACATATCTTAATTCTTATAACACTCCCTTCTCCTCCCTTCCTTCCCTTCTCCTTCCATCTCTTGATCCTCTTCCCATTTGCAAAAGATCAATCTTGTTTCCTATTACCTATCTTTTACTTGCATTTTAATTTATTTATACATTGTGTTTCTCATATAAGAAAAATGCTGCAATATTTAAACTTGTGTGTCTATATATTTCACTTAACATTGAGATCACAAGGTATCCATTTTCTATGCAAATTACAATGCCACTGAGAATCCATCTGACTCTACAATAAATGATTATCATCAAGAAACTCTCCTCCTTTCAAGATGCTCCAGAGGAGGAACCTCATTCCCATCCACACCCACATTGGAGAGATGCTGTCCCTTGGATTTACACAAATTCCTCTCCTTGGAGTTCAACCTTGCTAAAGCCAAAGACCTGGCCAATGTCAATCACTGTTGTAGTGGATTTTCTTTGGCTCACAGCTTAGCCACCAAGCAGACGTGGCTGTTTGGACCTTAATTCTTTTATTTAAAAAAATTCATTTTTATCAGAAACTTTTCACCCTTGGCCATCAGGAAGCAGCTCTTGGGAGAGATTTCCCAGCCTGGGTTATGGCACAACCCATATTATTCTATTGCTGGAACAAGGAAAAAGACAAAGGGAGCTATCCTCATTCCCAACTGAAGGAAGCTGTTTATCTATTCTATGAGGCCTCATAGAGCCTCACCCATGTGACCAGAGCAGAGGAAACCCCACATGTGCATCCTCTGGCCAAGCCCCATTCATGGTGGTGAAAGGCACTTCCTCCCTACCCCCACCACTCCTAACACTGACAGTTCAGTATTGCTTGACCCATCAGGGTTTTTCCCCCTAGGTCTATTACCATATCCTGCCCTGCTCAGGGGTATAGTACTAGGGACATCCAAGTCCCTCAGCAGCTTCTTCCTCTTCTACATCTCTGGGTGACAGGAAGAGTTGGCCATTGCCTTTCAAAGAGCCAATGAGAAGTGTTCCCTGATGTCACCCCTCTGGCTCCTGCCTTCCTATCAAGCTGCTTACTCTTTCCAGTGCTTCAGCTAGACTTGGACTGTAAGCACAAGCCACTGAACCAGCTACACAACTGTTGAACATTGGCTGGTCACATTTCTTAGTAACAATTAAGGGACCCTGGAGAATTAGCTCTTAACTGCTAAGGAAATGAGATTTGGGTTCAGACACAAGAAATATGAGAGGTTGCACTTCTCCCGGCACTCAGCCCAGCTGACAAGACTGGGCAAAACTAAAGAAGCCATGGTGCGATTTAGGGAGATAGCAACAGCATTCTTCCTTCTGTTGATTGCTGCTGTTCATCATCCCATCTTGGTAGGTGCAGTTCTGAACCATGGCGCCCCTTCTGCCTCCCTTTCTTTTTCCCTTTTCCTATATGGCCAGAGCTAAGGAAAAAAATGGGGGGAAAAAGAGATATGGAAGCACGGAGGCTCACTTTGAAAGGACAGTTGCTCAGTTCTCTTTGTCCCTCTACTCTTAATGGCCACCCTCCAAACAGTGTTTTCCAAACAATTTGAGAGAACCCAGCCCCTAGCATGCCCTACTTGATTCCTCCTGATTTCCTTGATGTCTTCATACACTGTCAGTTCTGATGGGCTGGATTCTGTAAGAGGAAGAAAGCAAAAATCAGAGCTTCAGAAACCTCCAAAGGGCCTGCTGTCCAGGCTTCCACTTCTGATAGATCCCCCCTGCACTCCAGATGACCAAGACCTTAAGAATGGCTCTAGAAAAGAATCATGTTGGTTCTGTTCCCTTTCCAAGGGCAGAGTGGAGCAACAACCCCTGAATACTTTCTCTATTAAGCTGGACAGTCCCCAACCAGAGCAGATACATCTGCGCTTTGGACATCAGACTGTATCTAGCAGCTACCACAGAAAGCATGAACAGGGAGAAGGGGCCTTGCAGCCACTGATTGCTGCTCCTCAACTGTGCACATGCATATCCTCACACTCCCCAAAATAGGAGATTCTGTGCACCAGGAACATCCCACTGCCCACAGGCCCAAGCCACTGGATTTGATCTATAGAACCTCCTCAAGGAAATCCCACTTACGTGACTGCCTTTTCTTCCTCTTCCACACACAGAAGCAAGTAAGGGTGCAAAGAAGCAGTGTGACTAGAATCACGATGACCACCCAGAGGGGCCAAAACCTGTGTTCTGTCGGGGCACAGAAGGTACAAGGGCTGAGTTCTCAGTCCCTGTCATCTTGCTTCCCACCTGTCAGCTGCAGGGGCTGGCTCAAAACCCACTCTGCTCTCTGGCTTGGCTGGTCTCCTCGTACCCTGTGAATTCACACCAAGGTTGTCCCTGTGCTCAGCTGGGTGACTCCCTCTGAGTGATGCCAAGAATATGAACATTAACATCTGACAGATCTGGCCCAGATTATAATCTGTGCAAAGGGGCTAATTGCATGAGCCGCTATATGTAAAAGGTCTGGCACAGAAACTCTTTTTACTAGCTGTTTTTAAATCAACAGATATTCAGTGTACACCTATTATGTTCCAGTCAAGTCTTCTATTTCACCATCCTCCTATCCGTACCTTCACTGCTCTTCCTGATTTGAATTTCTATATGTAAAATCTGTGTCACAGATGGAGGCTGTTGTATCATCTGCCCAATAAGAGGAAAAGGAACAACAGCCTTCATCTGTGACACAGATTTCACATGTAGAAATCCAAATTAGGAAGAGCAGTGAAGGTAGGGGTAGCAGGATAGTGAAACAGAAGACTTGACTGGCATGTAATAGGTGCACACTGTAAGTTATGGCTCAGGAGAAGAAAGCAGGTCAGGTCTCTGAGGAAAAAGCTAACAGTCAGGAGCCTTTGCAAGACTCACCAAACAACCATGCTTTCCAGATGTGTGCCCCTAGGAGATGGAGATACAGTATGGTCCTTTGCAGACTAAGACACATCTATCTTTATAAAAACTAGGTGTCCAGGGCCAGGCCATTGCTGAGGAAGGGCTAAAAGGCACCAGAAATGGAAGCCAAGGGATCTCATACCAAGGTCTCTCCTGCACATGAACCTGGTGGTGGGGTCCAAGGCCTTCAGCTCCCATTATAGCCCAAAGTGCCCCACTCACCCAGACAGTCCTGGGTGAGATTGAGGCTTTCACTTGCCCAGCTGGCAGGGTTGCTGACATTGCAGGTATATGTGTTCATCTCATTAGCATCAATCTGCACCACCAGATGGGAAAGGTTCCTCGATGTCCAGATCAGCTTGCTCCCTCTGTACCAAGCATAGCTCACACTGCTATTCTTGGAGCCCAGGCAGGACAGAACCACTTGACATTTTCCTTCATCCATGGTCTTTTTCTCTACCTGCAGGAGGGGCTTCTCTACATGATCTGGAAGCAGAGATTCTGATCAGCAAAGTTCTGGAAATACAAGTCTTACAGGAATCAGAGCAGCAGCAGGAACAGTCCTGGGAGACTCACCAAATATAAAGACCTTAAACTGGATACAGGAAACTGTCCCATTCTCATTGGTTATCTCCAGTTTGTAGAGACCACTGTACTGTGGCTTAGCTGCCTGGATGTGAAGAGTCAAGGTCTCACTGTCAAAATTGAGTGTACTGTTCAAATAGTTTAAGGCAAGCGGACAATAGATCAGATTTTTATTATTCTTCAAACGCAGTATCACCATGTTGCTTCCATGTGAGAAGAGATTCATCTTCCATTCAACACTCTGTGCCTTCATCTGTGTGTTGGGAGGCTGGAGCGAGACAGACTGTCCAGAAAGGCGGACCACATCACCAATATCTGAGCATTCTAGGAAAGAGAACCCAGGCTGAAGATGGCAGGAAAAGTATGATGCTGAGCAAGGTGAGCAGTTGGATGTGAACTCCCTTGGACTAAGAAGAGGGGGACAACAGTGAGGACCCCAGAGCCCAAGAAAACCCTGGAGTGTACATCTCTTACCTGGCTTATCTTCTCCCCAAACTCTACACTCTAATCTGAAGAGACCAACAGACCACTGATAGCTAGAATCACTTGAGTACTTACTAGGTGACAAGCAGGTTTCAAATACTTTTTTTTTGTCTTTTTGAGACAGTGTCTTGCTATGCAGTTCAGGCTGGCCTTGAGCTCACTTTGTAGCCCAGGCTGGTCTCAAACTTGCAATGATCCTCCTGCCTCAGCCTCCCGAGTGCTGGGATTACAGGCATGCACCACCATGCCCGGGTCAAATACTTCTAATGCTTTACTTACTTAACTCTCTGAAGGTATAATCCTCATTTTATTGGAGAAGAAACTGAGTTAAAAAGGACTTAAGTGACTGGCCCATGCTACATAGTGAAAGTGGTGAGCTTGAAATCTAGGTGATTTGGTTTTAAGGGGTGTAATTTTAACCACAGTGTTACAAACTCCATGTCCAATGTGACTTCCTGCCAGCAGCACTGAGGCAACCACTAGCGGACAGTGGCCAGACCCAGAAGATTAACCCTCCCACCTGAACAGATGGCCACTCTTCAGAGTAAGATCCCTAATCTTCTCTTATAGCACCTGGCACATGAGACTGTAGGCATTACTCATTAATGCTGGCCAACTTGTTAGTGACCTGGAAGCTTGGACAAAGGTTGCTCCCTAAAATTAGAGTAACTAGACAAAAGTAAAACTACACTGCCCAAGCTCACCCCAGCACTTTCTTCTCGAGGGATCAAGATAAGAGAGAAAGAACGTGGAGGGATATGACCCACCAGGGTGGCTGAGGGGAGTCAGTGCACATACGTACAAGTTCCTGTTGCCATTTTTTGGCAGGGACGCTGTGTCATGGCCCGGTGGATGCAGGAAATGGAAAGGTCTGTCTCACAGCTTAGGGAGAGTCAGGGGGAGTTTGGAGGGGAGTAATTATCCAAATGGCTCTGTTAAAATGACAGACATTAAAGCGAGAGCAAGGGAGATAGAGCAAGATGTGATCCTCTCCCCGCGGCATACCAACGTGAGCAGTTACTCATGGGCCAAACTATTTTCACAAGAACTGAGGAAATAAAGCAAGAGGCTACAGTGCCTGGTTATGGCGAAATAAAAAGATGCATTGAAGAGGACAGAGATTGAGTTGTCTATGTCACCCCTCCCTAAATCCCAGCAGCCCAGTGTGGAGAGAGACATCTGCTTAGGGAGCTGAACAAGTTAAATCCAAGCCTTAGACATGAAACTTAGTACCATGGTGCCACAGGGAAACCCACAGCATGGCACAGAGGGCACGCAGAGCCCTCTCTGTTGGCATGCAAGCCAAGCTGCCCCGGTATCAGCCCAGCAGCCAAGCACTCAGGTTTAGTTGCAGTATTGGCACTTCATGATAAATAAGTGGATTTTCAGTTGCAGTCTGGGCACTCAGTCTCTAAAAAGTTCATCATCAGAACAACCTTAGCAGTAGGTGGAGAGTTGTGCACCAGTGGGACAAACTCATGTTTCAGCCTGTATCAGCCCCACCTGTGGCATAGGCCTCTGTGCATCCCTGAGGCTGAGAAATACAAGCAAGACTTGTGTTAGCACTAGCACAGGTGACCAAGAGCCTGTCTTCACACACACTGCCCTAACCTTAGGCAGCATAGTGTGGAGTAAAACTCCATTCACTACGAGTAGGACCAGGTAGTAAGCACGGAACTTTGCCCTGGAATTTAACACTAGACTGGTGAAAACTAACACTGGGAAGATCCACACAACCCCATCCACCCATGGATGCCTATGGATGGAGCTTCTAGAACAACTCCAGTGCCAGGAAGACATGTGGCCCCAGTCTATTGTCATTCTGTTCCAGCTAGCATCACCTGTGGCTGCACATGGCAACAGTCCTGACAAATGTGTCCACCTCAGCAATAGATAGCCCTTTGTAGTGTAGGCCCTGGTCCTATCCCAGTGTTCTGCTGGTCTTGGCAGGCTGTGAACTCAGGGTGTGCTTGAGGGTATTGGGGTTCATATGTATAACATAGGAGTCTGAGGTTGGCCCATCCATAGTAGCTCTACCCAGAGCCAGACATAATCCTATGGTGCCTAACTACAGGGCAGAAACTGTGAGTGAGTCATCTGGGCATACCTGACCTTAGGAAGAGGCTTGTAAGAATGGCTATTCTGTCTAAATACTTCCTTGATTCATTCTGAATAGCCCACCAACAGCTTAATTCAGACAAACCTAGGATTGTATCACCCATTAGTACTGAAACATTGACAACACACCACCAGAAGATTCCAGGCAAGCTTGGACCAACCTGCCATCTAGTGCTAAAATAAAGGAAGTGACTATAGGATCAGAGAAAATAAATAACCTGATTAGAATTTCTTGAAAAACAGGCACAAACAAAGCCTGAGTTGGAAAACTGGAAGAAATACCTAATCCTCTAATGCCCAGACAGTATCATATGCCATCAAGCATCAAGAACTTTCAGGAAACAACAACCTCATCTAATACTCAAAATAGAGTGTCAGAAACTGACCAGGTAATAATCAGTATGGAAGAATTCTCAGGGCATTTAAAACAGCTATTTTAAAGAAACTCGGTAAGCTTGAAGAAAAAAAGAGAAACATTTCAATACTCTGAATATTGAAAGAAATCTTTAAGAGATGGAAGCAGTTATAAAAAATCAAATGGAAATTGTTGAACTGAAAAATACAGAGAGTAAAGACTGTGACAGAAGGTATAAACAGGAGGATAAGTAAAACAAGAGAAAGAATTAGTGAGTTCAAAAACAGTCTACTTGAAAACACACTAATGCAAAAATTAGCAAATGGGATTACATCAAACTAAAAAGCTTCTGTAGAGCAAAGGAATCAATCAACAGAAGGAAGAAACAACCTACAGAATGCGAGAAAATGTTTGCAAAGTAGTCATCTGACAAGAGATTAATATCTAGAATATTAATATCCAGAAACACAACAACAAATAACAATAATAATTTGAATAAAAAATCACCAAATGACCTGAATACACAGTTCCCAAAAGAAGATACGCAAATGACCAATCCATATATGAAAAAATGCTAAACATCACTAATCCTCAGAGAAATTCAAATCAAAACTTCAATGAGATATAGTCTCATCCCAGTAAGAATGACTATGGTAAACATGACAATAAAATAAAAGTTCTGGTGAGAATGCAGAGAAAAGAGAATTCTCATACATTGTTGGTAGGATTGTAAAACATTACAGCCATTATAGAAAACAGTATGGAGATTTTTTTTAATCTAGAAATAAAATTACCATGTGATACAGCAATCTCACTATTGGGTATCCTAGTATCTTAAGAAAATGAAGTCAGTATATCAGACACATCTGCACTTGCATGTTTATAGCAGCACTGTTCACAGTAGTCAAGATATGGAATCAACCTACATGACCATCAATTGATAAATGGATAAAGAAAGTATAATACAGATGTACCATGGAGTATTCAACCATTTAAAAATGAAATTCTTTCATTGATAGCCAAATGGATGGAATGGAAGAATATTGGGTTAAGTGAAATAAGTTAGATACAGAAAAACAAGTACCACATACTCCTGCTTATATGCGGAAGCTAAAAATCTGATCTCATCGAAGTAATGAATAAAATAGTTGTTATCAAAGTGTGGGAAGGGTTTGGGGACAGGGGAGTGGAGAGAGAATGATTCCTGCGTCAAAAGTTCCAACTGAGTAGGAAAAATAACTTCTAAAGTTCTAGTTCACAATGGGTAAACTATAAGGATAAGATTTTGAATGTTATCAACACAAAGAATAATAAATGAGGTGATAGCTATGCCCTTTTCTGGTCCTTACACATGACACACTTACGCATTGAAGTGTCACACTACAACCCATAAATATAAGCAATTGTTATGTGATTTTAATAAAAATATTTTAAAGGGTCAACTAAACAGAAATCCAGCCACTTTTAGTCCCTATACATGTAATAAGTTCAAAACATATGAAGCAAAATTTAAAAGAACAAAAAAGAAACAAATACACAATCATAGTTGGAGATTATATCTCATACCTCTCTATGTAACACATATAAAAAGCAAACAAAAACTCGATAAATCTATAAGAATTTGTACAACATGAATAACTAGCTTCAGATAATTAACATATATAAAACAATACTACCAACAACTGCAGACTACATATTCTTTTTAAAAGCAAATTTAGAGCATTTACCAAAATAAGTCATGACTATGCATTAAAGCATGCTGCCAAAAATTTCAAAATGTTGAAACCATAGAGAGTATGTCATTTAAGCAATAGTGGAACTAGAAATCAATAACAGAAAAATAACCAGAAAAATCCCCATGTTTGAAACATAAGCAACATATCTCTAAAAATGCAGGAATCAAAGGAGGACTCATAATCAAATTTGCAAAATGTTTAGAACTAAATGGTAATGAATAACAAAGAGGGAATAGAGCTAACACAGTGCTTAGAAGGAAATTTGTAGCTCTAAATTCATTTATTAGACAAGTCTGTAAGTCAGTAACCTAAGTGTCAATCTCAAGAAACAAAAAATAATTTGTTTTGTGTTTATCAAAAAACAATGATTATCAAAAAATAATGATAACCCAAGGAAAGAAGAGCATAATAAAGGCAAGAGCAGACATCAATGAATTAGAAAGCAGATATACAATGGAGGTACTCAGTAGAGCCAAAAGTAAGTTCTTCAAATGAAAATGTTTAAATTTATATATTTCTGAAAAAATCAGTAATAAAAGGAAGAAAAGTATTGAAAATATCTGAAATGATAAAAGACCACCACTAGAGCCCACACCAATACTTTAAAGGGCAATAAGAAAAAATCATGAAAA